CTAATAGCCTATAAATCTGATCTTTTAAATGCTTATAAGAAGTTTATCTTAGACACTACCAACATTATGTAGCATCAGTATCCAGGAGCACTAATTCCCAATGGCAATTTCCTATGAAAGGAAACGAAGGCACAGATTGGAATTTACTCTCTCTTTTCTCCATGGATGATATTTTTCTACAAATGACAATTGAAAAAGACTAAGCTTCAGGGATAAAAAGCCTGTTACACAGACTTAAGACTTAATAAGTATGAAAAATAAAGAATTCAGACCCATTTTTGAATTCTGGACTCAATGAAGGAGGATGTCAGGAATAAGAATTTACTAAAGTGCCCTGGGTAGCCTGGAAAAAATGAGTAATGACATCAGAATGACTTCAGCAAGATTACAAAAGAACATTGCTATGAGTTTCAACGTTGTTAATTGAAAAGACAAGAGATAAAGAATATTGGGCAAAATCCAAGCAGACAGTTTTCTGATCATTGTGATCACATACAGGATGAAAAGAGTGCCCTAACAGGTATATATTTTGGTTTTAATCTTCTCATTTGTTAAGGATATGTTTTACCTAAATAACATGTTCTTATTTTACCAATAAGATGTTCTTATTTGAACATCTCCTTCACTTTCTAGTAGTTCATGGCTGTGAATTAGATTGTTTGATGTTAGATGTAAAGAATGAATGAAGAATCCAAAAATACTGTAGTCCCTAGGAGAGAAGGATCCAGACATAGCAGATCCATTATATTCCCTTAATTGATGCTAATTAATTCTGATTATCATTCAACAGCAACTGAGTAAATGTGTCCTACGCTCTGGGGTCTACAAGGTCAGGAAAACAAAACTTCTTAAAACAAAAACTTATTCTAACATGCACTGCAGTTCCTACCATATCACTATAAAAATATCTCACTGACAATCTTGATGCAGTACTATTTGTTTTCTGTATGATCTCATATACTGTCCCATAAGAGCCATTTTCAACTGATTTAACTACATTTCCACCTTTTACTTAACATATTCAGTAAAAAACCCTCATAGAACAATTTTAAGCAAATTCTTTTTAAAAATAGAAGCTTTTTTTAACTTCAAAAGAAGGCGTAATCAATCAAAAACCAATACTGAAATTAAAGAATATGATATCTGAAACTGCTTCTGTACTGCTCCTGCTCATTCACCTTTCCCTAAGCCTCTGCCTCTGACACTTGTGGATGTTTTCTTCTGAATTGAAGAATCAATGCAGTACCCAAAGAGGGAACTACTTCTCATGGGAACAGGCTTATACTTAGGGAAAAAAAAAAGTTAGTTTTATCTGCAGAGTATGGAGAGCAAAGAAATATTACATCCTCCTTTATAGAATAGTATCAACACACAGCCTCAAAGCCTTTACATTTAATTTCTGCTTCACTAAGGTAGGTTTGTTGTTTGTTTTTTTTTTTTCCCATGAAATTCAACTGAATTCACCCTGCAGGGCATGAAATTCCCAATAGATCAGGTAAGACTTTAAACTGCTGTGACTTTACCTTTTATTAGTGCAGCTAAGCACAAAGAGATCGGAGAAAATTCCGTTTTAGAATGATTTACTCGACACTAGAGCTATAACCACAATTTATACATGAATAGAGCAGAAGTATTGTTTACATGGTAGTTATTTAAAACTATGCTTCTCAGCAAAAAAGAACACATATTACTGAGAGCTACAGTCATATTTATTTTCCACTCCTGGTTTACTTTGTATTGCCCGTACTACTATACATCTTTTATGTAATACATGTTTTTCAAAGCTCTGCCACAGCCTAAACAGCAAAGAAATATATTACTTGATATAAAACACTGGATCAACTTTATAAATACATGGGATTGTTTTAAATAGGATCTGTAAAGATATTAGCATATCTTAATGTAGCCATACACAGAGATATTGTAAATTGCTTTGCCCAAAGATACTATGACATGCTAGACAGTCATTTCTTATCTAATCAAATGTAAGTAAATGGTTTAAGTAAGAGCAAACTTTTCTTTAAAAACATATTTCCAAGTCTAATGTGAGGCAACCATAGCATCCAGGTGACAAAGTTGAATAATTTTTCACTACCTTTCAGTAGAGAATATACACTATTTATTGACTTCTAGGGAGCATTCCTGACTCATTTATCTCAAGGAAATTGCATATAAATGTACATCAGCTAGTATGCTTACCTTTAACTGAAGATGGCTTTTACAGATGTACCAGTAGGAAATGAATGAAAAACTAACAAAATGCACAACAGACATCAATGCAGACATTCATTTAAGAAATTAATCCATCATGTATACATGTAGAGTTGCACCCAAAATGATCCATCCTGAATGCCAAATAGCCATTGTTAAGACCCATGATTTTTCACTTTAATAAACAAGAGTCAACACAGCTTTCTGCTTCAGCTTCATTTTTAGAGCAGTTTTGGCATTATTTTCCACAAATGATATAAGATTATTATTGTAGAATTGAGCTGCTCACTCTGTAACAGGCCATCTCCAAAACTGAAAATTTTCAAAGTATTTGATACATATCCTATTCAGTCTACATTTTTGCCAAATTTCTTAGCTCCACCAGTGCTTCTGAATTTCCAAACCTCTTGGTTTCTTTATCAGTAATAGAACCTTCTCAAAATAAGAGCTTATCTGTTTACATGTCAATCCTTTATTAGGTTACATGAACACAATCCACACAGTGTTACAGCTGGAAGTCTGACAGATTTTTTCTGATATTGCAGGAAACACTTAGAGACCTCTAAAAAAGACAGGCTTTTTAGACACGTAACCCCTACGTGCTTTATCTGGTGCATTTTTCCCTCCACACCAGGGACTATTTTTGTTGTTAACTGTTTTTTTCCTGGAATAAAGCCCTGAATAGCCTGAAAATTGCCTTTCTGTAAAATGTCCTTTCCTCATATGCTACATCACAGCTGCTGCATTCAGTCAGAAGGCTGCTGTCTGTTCCTATCTCTGAATTGCAAAGTTGGATGGCAGTAGGGGATGGGCTGAAAGAACAGAACTAAATAGGGAATTATTTTTACAGCCATGGAAGAGCCTGAGACTGCAAAATTCACTATTTACCAATGTAAACTGAGGGTGAATACATTTGAAAGGACAGAAATGGCTATGAAGGGGTTTCCATTTTCATTATCTGTCTCTATATCTGTATGCACAGAACACTTTTTAAAAATACATATAAAATGCTAAACATTATTTAATTATATAGCATATCCAATCTTACAAACATGATTTTTAAAAGCATACTGGATATTCGGTGATTTGAGGCAGGACTTAGATAAAGTTTCCTCAAAATCTTACCATTTAAATTCAAATCTTTGTCAAAATATTAAGTCCTTACTGAAGGGGGGATCACTCCACCTAGTGTGCATACCTAATAGCCCATGAAGTAAAGTTTATATTATACAGAATAATACATAATCATTATATTCATCAGAATTATCATGCATATTCAATACAATTATCAGAAATCATTATCATAAAACTCTGCTGTGCATGCTCATTGAGTCTTGAAATGAGTCGAATGGCTGCTTTTGCGACCACCACGGACCACTGACTCAAAAGAAAGGACCCTCCAATGACCTTGTCCCAAGGACTTGGCTCAACAGGCTCTTCTCCACAACCCAGTGGTCAGTAAAACAAAGAGTTTTCAAGCTTATGTGGACATTAGAGCAATAAATTTCAATCTCTACAACACTACAGCAAAGATGCATTGTTTTTGATTCTGCTATGGAGTTAATGATTAGAGCAGGCCTAGGACTTTACAGTCTCTTCTTATTAAGGTCTTTATGGTTCTCTAGTTCCAAGTTAACAATCCCAACTCAAACATTATGCCTTATGATTTTATTTCAATCAAACCCAATTCTTCTGCACAGTTTTGATTATTTCATCAGAATACTTGCAACAAATTGGTACATCTGTGGGTACCCAAGTCAACATATCTATGTTTTGAGTAGAAGGAATACTGACCATTCTTAATTGTCCATTAATTTTAGGTCATGGTAGATATGTTTAGTCACTCTGCAGACTGAAACACAATTGGAAATATAAAATTGTATGTATACAAATTAGATGTTGTCCCCATGATAAGCCTAAAACACTTGCACCATTGATACATCCAGTTTACCTAGTCAGCTCTTGCAACTTCAGACAGGAAGGTATCAGGAAATAAAGTTTTGCTTATCACTGCATCTTTAAATTGAGGAACCAATTTGAGTTAGACAACAAGGGCTATTTCTATTTTAGAAACTAAGGACAGTATTTTTTTCCTTTGAATAACATCAAGTATACATGTAGAACAGCCCCATTCCTATTTCTACTGGATCAGAGAGAAGGTACTATGGATCATGTACTCCAAGTTACTTAATGGGATAGAGCATCTCTTGCTGCTCTAAACTGGTCTAAATCTATCAACTTCTACTAGTTAAAGGATTCCTACATTTTAAACATAACATAAAGCTGAATGGGTTATTTTGCTGACAACAGAAAATGGAACAATTCAGGATTAATATTCATGACTTATAAATAATAAGAAAACATTTTAGTAAGGGGGTGTGTTAATTTTATTAAGAATCTCAATTCTAAGATTTTATTTCCTTTCTCCTCCTCTTGTTGTTTATTTTTTTAAACAGGAGATAACTGTGGAAAAAGTTTCGCTGTGTATCAATAATCTATAGAACTGAATTAAGTATTCCTTTCTGCAAAAGTACAACTCAAATACAGTTACAGAGATGTACTATGGAGCTATAAATGAGCAGTGAGAAGTCAAGAGTTGCATTGAATTACTGTTTCTAAATGCATACCGTTATTTTGTTTGCCTTAAAAAAAACCCCCCAAAACCCCAAAACAACAGTATTTCACTGGAGCTTTACCTTTCTGCAACAAAATGTTTTAAATATGAAGCCAAACCATGATCTCTTTCAGTGTAACTCTGAATGGAAATTGCAATCAAATGTTCCTCTTACCTCATTTTGAAGGTCACGGATCATTTTACTTTTCCTTTCCATTTCAGTCTTCAAAAAGTTAATCTACAAGTTTACAGAAATATTGAGTGTGAGCTGTTAAAATGGACCTAAACATCAGTTTTAACCATTAATTATTTTCATACCTTGCTAACAGCTTTGAATAAAAAACAAAACAGAACAAAAACAAAACAAAACAAACACAAAAAACACACACCACACTTCTGTTCATATATCAAATTGGTATAGGCCACAGTTAGGTATTTGCTAAATCCACAAACATTTAGCATGATATTTACTAGAAAAATATTTAAGAGAAGAAAATTGCTGTGCATAAATAGGCTTACTTTACTTTTGCACCTGTTTATTTTTCACAATGAAGTCCCACATGACTTTCAGAGAACTCAGGATTTTTACAACAATATTAACTGACTTTATGATCTAAAAATTTTTAACCCTCTAAGAACAAATTGCTAACACAGTTATTTGATTTGAATGCTACAGTACTTGTCCTGAAGAGATAAAGCCCTTGATTCTGATTGGACTCACCTGTGGAATAAAGTATATTATATGTGATAACTAAAGACCAGCATTCAGATCTGGTCTTTAGTTCCTATTTAACTCATTTAACCCTTTAATTATTTACCTTAGAAAGTAGATACTCCAATCTGAGTTTTAAGACTGAATTTAATCACACACAGAACACGGATTAAAAGACTGTTTTTACAGATCATTCTAAGTTTCTTCCAGGATTGAACTTTCCTCCGGGTTTATGGAACACAATGGGAGAAAGGAGGATGTAATTATAACAACTAGTATTAAAAGAATACATTCCTTTCACTTTGAAGGAGGGTGCTTTTGGATACCTTAATTAACAAAATCCTCGTCCCTGTATACACCTAACACCCCATACCAAGTTCTCTTCCCTCATTGACACAAAAGCCTACCTACGTTCATGAGAAACTACAGTTCACCTGACGTTGCAGCAGACTTGTTAAGAAAAAGAAAACCTCTGTAAGAGAACAGATTTAGATTATAGAGACATTGACCTAGAGATTAATGGTTTGGATGTCATGCAGATAAAAAATGACAGTGAATCTGCATGACATGACAGCTGTTCTTAGAATCATGCCCACACTCAAGTAGACAGATGTCAGTAATTTAAAAACCATCACCAGACTTGACATCACTCTCATCTGTATCAAAAGAGAAATCAGAGAACACTATCATCACTTAAGAGGGAAAAGTAGGTAGGGAGCCCATGAGACTCAGACCAACTGACACACAAACGTGTCACTTCTTTTGCAAACTTTCCAAAATTTTGTCTAAGTGGTTTGGTTGTGGAAATACTAACTACACATCCAGCTACCACTAAGGGTGATGCTTCAACAGATTAAGATATTCAGCACTTGCCTAGCAATCATGTCCACAAATAATGGAATTTAGTCCACGTGGATTGTATAACAAATATGAAGTTTTTGCGCAACCATAAATAAAGGTTGCAATCAAAAAGTGAGATCAGGGAAGAAAAATATTAATGTGATGGGTTTTGGTTTTTCAGCTGTTCAAGATTTGCCAGCTACCATTAAATACTGACAAAAATAATATATTGACCTCTGTTAAAGAGCGTTCCCTTTCTTAGTCCTAACTCTCAAGAGAACATTAATATTCCTTCAAAGCACTTCACTTCCAAATCTGAATATATATGAAATAATTAAAGAGATATGATAACAAAATTATTGTCTGTGTGCTCTCTATACATAGCCTGTAAGTATCAGCTTGGACCTTTTAGTGGAGAGATATTTAAGACACCACAGTATTATTAATTTAACCAGCAATCTATGTTACTTAAACCAGTAATTTTTGTTAATTACTATTCACATACATATGCATCTGATATGGACATCTTAAACAGTGCAAACTTACAATTTCGGCTCATCTGAATAATAACAAAAAAAATAAGATACTCATTTTTTAAAAAATTAATTAGAAAGTAATTCATCTTTCTTTTCATATTATAACAGCATTTTTAAAGTTCTTCTAAATCTCTAACAGCTTAATCATAAAGTATAGCTATAGAGAGCTACCTCACAGGAATTTATATGGCTTGGCTACTGAAGCTAATATAGAGATAACCCTGTCTATCCATTTAAGTGCACCTACGTCTATAATTTCATGCTTTAAGGCAGATCGGTCTGTATCAGAGCATTTGCATGATGCTTTTAGTAAGTCCCAAGGACAAGGCACAATACCATTTTCCAGAAGAGATGTAAAAATTCTACATGCAGTCACCAAATCCTGATAGCATAATAAACAAGAATGGACATTTATAACCAGCTTTAAATTAAAAGGCACAGAAACTGAAAAAATGGAAACTAAGAAACTTTCTACATCTCTTCCTCCTTTCTAGCCACTCTTTGTTCTTTGTTTGACATTCACCTCTTTCCAAAGGTTGGCTGCCTTTAATTATTATCTAGCTGTAATTATGAAAATACATAATGAAAATATATTGGTGTTCTAAGGCTGAACTTTTGCAATATTAAGCAAGGACATTGCTTCTGTCTCCTGGAGACAGACATCCAAAGTACTCAGAGCTTTGTGTGTTTCAGAGCTCATTATGTTTATTAAAGGCAACAGCTTCCATCCAGTGGCCTTTACTCACAGCAGTTTGTGACCTTGCAATGTTCAAATTAAATTTTCCCCCATCGAAATACAGAATGCTTTAGCAGATGGCCGTGATCTAATTCTAAGAGTCAGACAATAGTTAGTTATTCACTCTAGACAGAGGATGGAAGAATACCAATATAGCATCATTACACACAGCCAAAGCCCAGCTGTATGCTTATTTGCTTACCTCCAGATATCTTGTATCTTGCTCAGAACTAAGACATGAGCAATTAAAATTGGATTGGAATACATTAATTAACACCTAACTATTTTGGCAATATCTGGAAACTCGTAACATACTCAATATTCATTTTGATGGACTAATTTTCAAGTTATAGTGTAGGAATTGCCTCCAAAAGCCAGACAGAACTGGTGAACTGGTTAGGCTATCACCTAAAACACAGGAAATACTCTTTCCTCTTGGAAAAAGTGTTCTACAAAGTGCTAAATACTTTTAAAAGCAAAGCTAAATATATTTTTACCTACTAGGATTTCTTGGATGAATGTAACTTTTAAATTGTAAGTTACATTTTAATTAATAAACCAGGTTTTTTTCAAAGAGACATTGAGGACTTTAGGACCTGTCATAGGGACTGTTATTAAACAAAATAAGTATTTTTTAACTGAAATGAGCATCTGATTTCTTATTAAAAATATTGCAGGCATGAGTTTGTGATGGTTTTTAAGATTCTTGTTTGGTGATGGATCTCTCTGAATTAAATTCCTCATATTCTGTTAGTCTTTTATTACTAAGAAAAAGCCTACTGATTTCAAAATAACCATATTGTTTACCGTTTATTTTTACAAGTAATGCATAATGGGTTACTTAATTCTCATTTTTCATAGTGAACACTGAGCAACAGGGAAAAAGGAATTTCCACAGACATATCTTCTCCTTTATTTTGACAGACATTACTATAATTGTATTGTCAAAACAATTCCATCACCATGTCTTTTTAAAAATTGTTAGCATGATATAAAATATCACCAGGAACAGAATGTAAAAGACAGACTAAGCTTACTCTACTTAGCCAAATCATTTTGGAGTATATCCCTGTTTCTTTCTTTATTTTCTCCCTCATCCAGAGCTACCTAGCTCTTTTTATACCCTGTAATTGCAGTTAATAGGAGACAACTTTGCAAACCTCAAGCTCACTTCCTAAAAAAATAACTATTTCTTAAGACACAAACAGTTAGCATGAAGTGCAGTCAAGTGAAGAGCCCTTCTCCAAAATGGTCCAAGAGCCTGTTAACCTAATGCAGAGATACAGAATCACTACTTACGCTATTTATTCAAATTCACTGTGGGGAAAAAACAAACAAACAAAAAAAAACCACAAAAAACCCCACAAACCAAAAAACCAGTTTGAAGTTACATGTGTCATTTGCCCTTTGCCTCTTTGGTAACAAAACTGAAAATTAGTTCCTGGTCTCTAATCCTGTTTCTGGAAATAGTGTATCCCCTTCAAATTTAGAGATATAACTTGACATTATTAATAAATTTTTCCCTGCATAACAACCTATTATAAATTGCTTAGGTATTTGATGCTAAATGCAGAACAAAAAGCTCTGTCAACCTTTATCAATTGTTAAAGAGGACAATAGGTTATTTGCAATTATTTCGTACACATTTTACATGCATGTTGTATAACTAAACCCAATATGGTGCTTCTGAATGACAAGCTTTATCTATTTAAGAAATGCTTTTGATATAAAAATAATTCATAGTTCTACTGTGAGATGCTCTGTAGAGAAGCTCCCTCACAACCAAAGGCTTTCTGGAAGACTTTGAGCTTTGCAGCATAGGACTAGTCTGAAATTCAAACATCATTATCATAACTAGCATTCTGCTGCACATTTTACTATTCCAGATAGAGCAATTGAAACAAAAGGCACAAATTTATCCAAGGTCTGCCATATGTTTTTTAGAGAAGACCTGTCCCAAGACAGACTGCTGCTGTTCTTTCTACAGTAGTGCTACAGAAGCAGAAGACAAAAGACCTAGAAAAGCAGTGTTCACTCTGGCTCAGGACGCTCAGGTCAGTCCTCGGTGTAATTAGTACTGCAAAGGACAGTAATGTCTTTACATTTCCTTTTTGTTTCCTCAAGCCTGAGTCACTGCTTTGACACTCAGAAAATTGTTACTACCCAGCAGCAGCTCCATTGGCCCCTCTCTGGGAGACTGTACCCACCAACACTTAGCAGATCCTCAGAACAGCAGCTTTTTAGCTGCCTACCATGCTTGGCCTCTCTATCCTTAAAGGGCCAAAAAAAATGGATAAGCATGCACAATATCCTTGATAACACTGTTCCTGATGGATCATTTGTGCAACTGATAGGGAAGAGTCTTGTCATACACGGCACAAGACGTGGATGCAAAGTGTAATGTTTTGCCGTGGTGTCTCCTTTGTTCTTGTGGTTTGGTCAGAGTCCCTGAATACTTTCCAGGTTATTTTTCATTTGACTTAAATCTTGTAAATTCTTACTTACACTTTTGCATTTATGTAATAAAGAACACCTTCAGGCAGGTGTTCCCTGTTGAATATATACAGCGAATTAGCCTACAGTAAGCATTGTACTGTGCCTCCTTGGCAAATGCAGAAAAGAAATATGTATTTCCAAACCCCACCTCAGTCTTATATTCATGGGTTTTGAGAAATGTAATTCTATTCTTATTTACTTTGATGAAAATCAAGATTTACTTCACCAAACCCTGTAGAATATAATATGCTTAAATTGGATTAGAAAAAAGACTCACAATTCATTAAATTAGAATTAAATTCAAGCTCCCATTCTCTAGCTAGGCTTGCCTCAAAGTACCTAGATTTTCTTTCATGGCATTCATATTGCTTTCAGAAAAATGTGAAATACTTGAAGAAACCAGGTGTAAAGTAACCCTGTGTGACAGTAATAATATTTATTTCCATTTCTATTGCAGCTTTCATCTGAGGATCCCGAAGCACTTTTTAAATATTCATTCAATCTCAATGTATTTGTGAGCTTCATTATGTACATTGTATCCTGAGGCGCAAAGAAATAAATGTCACAAACCAAGGACATAGTTCTGCTTCCCTTAAAATCAGTGGTAGATTTCATATTCTCTTATTGCCAAGTTTTAGAATACAGCTCAAGAATTCAGTTTCTCCAGCCAGCCAACAACAGTTCAAGCCAAGTTCTGTTATGAACTCAGAGGGTTTTTTCCTGGTTTCTGAACTAAGGAATATTTTTGCTTACAGTTAAGAGTAGTTTGTTTGACTTGTGTAGAGCAAATATTGTGCTTCCCCAGTGCTAGGGTGTAGACTTCAATGATACAAGGCACTGTTGCTCATGTTAAAAAAAAAAAGTGCTATATCACAGAGCGACAGAGCCAATAATCCATTTACTATATCTGAGATTTATTTAACCCATAGTTGAATTAGACTTGAATATCTAAATCTAATACAGAGATTAAATAGCAGAATATGTTTTCCATCTTTAATTTATAGGACTAGAGTCCATTGTGCTGATAAAGCTAGCAGAAATGTGTCCATGCACCTGAAAAAAAGGCAAGTTTCATCCAGCATGTTCTGAGTACTTAGCAGAGACAAATACGTCCTAATTTTTTCCTTATTTCACAAGTATACATCTTGCCTCAGTACAAAAACGATCTTAAAACAAGTATAGATTTTAATTTCTGGATATATGCTGCTCTGGCTGTTGAGAAATACCCCAAAATATGTTATTCTTTTAAAGTTCAATACAGCATTCAGTTTACTTCTTTTCTCCCCTCAAGAACAAAAGAACATTTTTGTTCTTTAAACAAAATTACAAGTACCAAAAATCCACTAAGTATATGTTGTGAGTGACACAAGAATAGATAAAACAGTAAAGTACTTTTAACCTTCAGGCTTCTGAGCAACAAAGGGGAAAAAAGCGTTTTCAAAAATCACATTAATTGAAAGAAACCTGCAAAAAGAATACTTAAAAAAAAACCCAAAAAACGAAGAAAACCACAAAAAAAACCAAAAAAACCCCAAACAAACAAAAACAAACAAACAAAAAAATGCCCGAATTCTCCAGGTCCAAATCTCCAAAAGTGTATACACACACCTAAATTGCTCAAGAATTAGTGAAGATAGAATCTTAGCACTTTTGAAAATACAAACCTTTTTCAGCTCCTTTTTTCTGAAGTTTGTAGAGTACTAAGACATACTTCAAATCCAAGTTTTCTACATCCAAAGTTATTTGAGCCAATGACAAGTTCTCAAGACAGAAGGATTAAAAAATAAATAGAAGCAAACAAAAATAATGAAAGAAGGACAGGGAATCACTCACAGTAGCCTGCTGCTTTTCTGCTTTCTCAGTTGCCTCATTAAGCTGCTTTTGAAAGGCCTCCTGGAGAGACTTCATTTCTTCCCTAGTTTGTTGGAAACACAGAACACAAACTTCACCACAAGTGTCCATTAAGAAATAATTTTACAGAATCAAGAAAAGACACTTTTCATTATTAAAAGTAACAGACAGATGCACTATGTCTATATGTCTTGCTAATAAAATCATAATGATCCTATGAACTATAGTGACAACGCAATACAAAAATTATCTATGATAGAAACTGGCCACCTTTTACATCTACTGAGTAGCCTGCTGTGCAAAACATCTGCCAGTGTAACATTTCTAGCAAAAAGGATTGGCACCAAAAAAGTGAGGAAAGCAGGTTACTGAAAACGCACTGAAATGGAACTACACTATTACCAGCAAGAACTAGTTTACATCTATTTTAATATAAATAAATAAAAAATGCTCTGGAAAAAATTCAACCTTCACCTGGCTTTTTCTAGAGACAAGTAACACAAAATTCAATAGAAGATTCTGGCATACAAGGAAAAAAAACAAGAGGATAATTGCTTGGATTGGGCTCTATTTGAATCAAAAACCCCCTCTGGATTACTGATGCAGACAGATTCATGTCTGAAGGATGGAGTCCATGACAAGGACAGCTATGATGCTGAGATGTGTACCTTCAGTTGCACCCAAGCCATATAACATGTAAGTGGTTAAACAGGTCATTAGCTGAAGTCCCGCTTTCAGCATTTAATTGATTTTTCTGGAATACCTGAAAGACCCTTACGCACCTGATCCTTCTCTATCAGAGTGAAAATAAGAAATTCTATGGGTATTGTATTATGAATTTTATTTGTTGTGTATTGAAGAACTGAAGGTCATTTTATCACAAGCCTTTTCTATAGCAATGCAATCTGATACGTACTTCTGTTGAATACAGTATCAGCAATAAGATGGCCACAGGATTTAAGTTTTGCATTACTAACAATGAAAAAAAGCACAAACTTAATAAATTTTATAAATAATTTTTTTTCTAAGGAACAATGTGAAGTATAGATGCATTCATTATATAATATTGTTTATGCAAAATTGATCCCTGTATTAATTATGTTTTCTTGTTATTAAAACTGTATAAAACTGATGTTGTTATTTGTTGGTCTGAATTCCAAGAATTAAGAGAAGTAGAATGATGAGAGTTACTCGCAACGAAGCACTAAGGTACTTGAGAACTAAGGACTCACTTCTCTTAGTGTTCAATGAAGAATTTGAAGTGAATACTTCTCTCCCCTCCCAGCTGCCTTCCTCACAGATACTCACAGTGCAAAAACCCTTACAAATACTCAATGACTAGTGATTTTGAGTGTCTACATGCATGAATATTTAACTAAGAGGTCTAAATAAATATATAATATAATCTCCAAATTCAGAGATTGAGATACTTTGATCTTAATTAACTGGACATTACCATCCACTAGTCATTATCTAAAACTTCTGATTTTATTATTTTTAAGAGAAAATTTCATTACTAAACCTGATTGAGAAATTAAAAATCCCCTTCTTTTGCAGATATCTCACTGTAGCATTTTAGTATCTTATCCTAACATATGTCAAATATCAACAAATACATAATTTGTTTAAAAAACTTCCCAAAATAGCATGCTTTGTCCTTATTTTACTGTTATAAGCAGTAGACTCTGGGACAGAGTTTATAGGTTAAAGTAAGAGGAAAGATGGAATTTCCTAGTCTGACGGTTTTTCAGTCTGGAAATGGAAAGAGAAAGGAGGAGGAGAAGGGACCTTACCTTTGCTTTTGGCCCAGTTCCAGAAGTTTCTGCACATCATTTTTGGCTGATGCTTCATCATTTTTCAAAGACTGATAACAAAGGAAGAAATCTATTACCAAAGAGATCTTTAATGGTATTCATCTGTGAAAAGATTAATTTGGTCCTCTCTCATAAAATGCTCACAGTGAATTACAGATATTACCACTTGTGAGAAATGGAGGAACAGCCTGACTTTTCTTTTACCATAACTCAGCACAGCTAACTGCACGCAGCCATTTTTCAAATATTAAATGAGAGCTGATCAAATAAAATAAGTAGATTTAAAAACAAACAAATGGCTAAAAGCATTAGGATTCTATGACAAAGATAAGTGTGCATATACAGAAGATAATACTACAATTTTTTGCCTATATCTCTGCAGTGTTGTGTCTAAAATATCTCTTAGTACAATTTTGCTAAGTACTACATTCAAGTGTGCTAATCCCATTCTAAAATGACTTTGTTACAAGGAGAAACACATTACTCTAAAAAGTGAGAAGAAAAACCCTACCATAATAAAAAATGGTAAAACAATTAAAAAAAAAAAAAGATTCAAAAGTTCACATTAAGTAGAATCAGAGAAGACAACATATAATAATAATATAATAATATAATACAGCACAGTAGTGACACACAATACCAGTTTTCTTCTGTGAACATATGCAGTGATGCTACTCCTATTTTTTCCATCTAGTTTACACCAACATGAAGATAAAAGTGCAATGTCATTAAAAAAAAAAACCACCTTTAAAATTATAAGAAATAGAGATAAATCTCAACAGATAATAAGTCTGAAGGTTTTCACCAGATCAACAAAAGACAGGTGTTCTCTTAAGTGAGCATCTGGTGATTGCAGAGCCTCAACTCCAGAGCAGGATTTTTAATTTACTTTTCACTCTGAAGAGCTGATTTGAATCAAGTTAATCTGACTATTGTCCTTTCAGTCTACCCATGATACCCCAAAACCTCCCAGGTTAAATACAGAGGTGTCTCAGCTCTAGCTGCAGGCTCATCTAGCACAATTTGGCAGCTAAACTTGTAGAGTAATGCCCTGCAGTAAATCCAGTCAGTCCATGTAGATGGCACATCAGGTAGGTAAAGCGAGCACCTCAACTAGGCTGAGTATATGTAACTCGTCAGCAAAGATGCAACCTGCAACAGCACAGGAAACCCTTTATAGCAGCTGTCAGGACAAATGAGTGGTAACTCCACTAAGACAGCTTAATTTTTTTTCTTTCCTTCTTTTTGTTCTACTATGCTCTATTTTTGCATTTGCTTCATTATGGGGGTAAGTGGAAAAAGGGCTCAACTCATTAGGACTATGTTTTCCATAAAAAAATGGGTTTTATATTAAGTACAAGACCAACAAAACAAGAATTATTCACACATGAAAAAAAAAACAAAAACAAACCAAAACCAAAACAAAATCATGTTTTTTGTAATAGATAGCAATATGAAAAAAAAATCAATGCAATTAATCCTACAGAAACCGAGACAGAACCTAACCTGGAGGTTTACTTTAATTCCCTCAAGTTCTTTAGAAGTCTTCGACAGTTGACGAAGGATATTGCTCCTTTCCTTAAAGACTTCTTTCAGTTGTCTTTCCAGTTCTTCATAGCCCTGTCTAACACAGAAAATAAAAGCATGAGATCTTCTCAAAATATTTCTCAATGCATTTGAAAACAGTCTTAGTTCATTCAAATTAAAATAATTCCAACACTCTTCATAGATTCCAAATTGGAGTGTGGGAAGGTCCCCTTGTTCAGCTGTAATAACAACTCCATTTCTCCTAACTAAAGAGGTGTTTCATATGTCAAAATGATGTGCTGCATCTGAGTATACAAATTATCAGATGGAAACACTGCGAATGGTGTATTGTCTGTGACAAACAGGAGACAGAAAGGATGTATTTAACATGAGCGATGGTACGTAGCGTAAGATTTTTCTTGTTTTAAAAGATATTGTGTGCAAGAAATGAAGCAAAACCTTTAAAGTATGAAGTTTTGTGACATCCAGTAATTTGAGGGAAGGATGATTCAGATCTGTTTTAACTTTGTAAAATTTATTTAATTCCATAATTTCTTCTCACTTAAACCTCCTTAAAAACTATAGTATAAACTAGAACTGACAAATACACCAAAAGAACTCAAATATTATTATTAATTAATGGTTAAGTCAAAATATCCTATCCTTTCAAAATGGTAATTTTTACCATTGTTTTTTTAAAATCCACAATGAAAAAATAAAATGCATATTGTTTGTGGTTGAATTAAAGACAGATCCAACTCTCATGCCCTATTTTAGAAAAGAAAGCAAACATTACAGTTAAATCTAAAAACCCCATACTTTTTCATTTAAAATTGTCATTTTGAGGACGACTGATCAGTTAATAGAAAAATACATTTCTTCCACAACTTAATTTTTATTTTATTTTTTTTTCTCCTTGATGTACCTCTGGTTCTAAGAAGTGGTAAAAAAGAACCTCAACTCTGCAACATTTCAATTCCATTTAATTATCAGATCCAAAACTTTGAAGTTAAACAGGAATCTTAATACTCCTATAATGGATTTTGAATACACACTTTAGCAAAGAAGGTCAGAAAAGCAAATTAAATACGCTATCCAATATCAGTCCTATCTATTTTAGCAATAGACAGCTCACAAAATATGACAGATCTATGAAAAAAAGAAAATTATTCTATATTAAATAATACTTTGGATACCTAGAAGAGGTGAAAGTGAATAAAACATCTCTTTCATCAACATAAGACTTCAGGCAAAGAATCTTAACATTATAGGGACATCTCAGTAATAATTACATTCAGCTTTGAAAGAATGTTGCAAATTAAAACATAGAGGTCTTTTAGTTTGCATCTCTAAGAAAATGCAAAACATCTCCAATTTCTGCTTACGACTGCAAAGTAAGAATCGAGATGTTCTGGTGTGCAACGTAGCACCCAACACTCTCAGTGAAGGTCATCAGCACTGTTGCTAGGTTGACTGCTTCGTTTTACAGTAGAAGTTCTCTTTTAGAGAAGAGTTGAAAAGGAAAAAAGAAATTCCACCCCGCCCATACCAAAAAACATTACGTTTTCCCAGGATGGTAAAATAAAAACGACAATCTTTCTAATACATTCCATAGCTGATAGATAAAAAGTTCAGCTGTCAGTAAAGTATTTTATCTTCTTCTAAGTTTTGCTTTTTTTTCAATGTGCAGATGAACTTTATTTCAAGAAACTGTGGTTTTAGAGCATTTTGATTATGCTCATCCACCAGGGGAAAGGAAAGACGGCAGATGTAGCAGGGGAACAAAAAGTACCTCTGAGAACAACTGCAAGAGACACAGGGTAAAGGCAGTGTAAGGAAATAATGCCAGGACGCAGCTATGAGCACCTACTAGGAGCTAAACGGCATCTGTAAGTAATCTGGTTATCTTTTATATGGATAACTAATGTTATAAGAAATAAACTATCTCAAATCAAACAGAGTTTACAGGAAAACCCATATGCCAACATTTCAAACCTTCCAGAATTTAGGATTATTTATATGGAGTGTTTGGTTTCAATTATTCTATCAAATTGAATGAAACAACCAACTGTTACAGGAATTAAATCTAGTCAGTGCTAGAATACCTGTCATTCCAGTTGTTACATACAATATAAACAAAATTTCCTGCATTCAGTTTTGTAAAGTAACACCTATAGTTTATTTGTTACCACTCCAGCTACCTGTGACTTTAAACAAGGTATACATCACGGTAATGAGCTGGCTCAACTCATCAGTAACAGCATTATGTGTAATCAGCCTGACAAGCTTCAGAGAACACTCCCATTTTAATTTGCTGATGAACAGAGGTCAAGGAGGAATTTCCTCCTGCTAAAGTAATCCTGCAGTTTCAGTGAGGTCATCACTTCCATTCCTCTTTTAGCATCATAACAAGTGTGTTAGGCTTGATGGTCTCTTTTGCCATCGAGGTGTTGTGCTTTTGTTTAAAGTTAAACCCTGCATTTAAAAAACTATCTGCAAGGGGTAACACTCTGTCTTAACATCACTCTAAAGTAATACCCCCCTCTCCAATTCCAGTTTAGGCTGAGCATTTAAACACCATCTGTCCCAAAGAGCCAATTACGCTGCCCATGGGTATTCAGTTGGCACAGGTTTCACTCTACTGTCTTTTAAATACTTCTATCTACCAATTTGTATTAACTAGAACATTTCCTGAATTTTAAAATTAAATTTAATATCAACTATGTATACACTTATATTTACTTTCATATTATATTTTACAACACACTGGGCAGGGAGGAGAAGACAAAAAGCCACCAAATTTTGTCAGAAAACAAACTAAACCCTCAGAACTGTTACAGGATAATTAAAAAAAAAAAAAAAAGGAAAGAAGAATGAAGATATAAAACACAGCTGCCAAATCTATTAACAATTAGATTCTCAAAGGCTTTTAATTCTGAACAATATTATCTCTGATATCAACCTTTGACTCAGCATTGTGTCCCAGAACAGTGCCCCCATGTATCTAAAGACTCATCTGAACTCTGCACCTCTGTGTTGACTCAACTCAACTCCACACTTCTGTGATAGCAAACTCTTGGATCGACCCATCTAATCTGATAACATCAATTGCGACATTGAAAACTTGTGTCATTTAACACCAACAAAGTTCAATTCAAGTGAAAAAAGGTAAATTTGTAAATACAGTGGTCTAATCATGAATCACTTTGATTATTCAAGAATTCCTATATTCTTCCACAAAACTGAATATGCCTTCACTTTTACACTTCTTAAATATTAACAGGATTCTCAAGATTGGATTTAAGGAAAGGATCCATGGTTAACTGGTTTTCTTATTCTTCCTTTCTTGAGTTTCAAATAACCAAATTTTAAATCCCATATATTTGATAAGCACTCTTTGGAAGGTTCCACACATATATGCAATATAATTTTAAGTATGGGTAGGCAAGCCATTCTAGAAGAAGTAAATTCACTTTCCCATATCAGCATGGCCATATTCTGCAGCTGTGCTATTGTATGAAAAGCATAGTGATTTTTCCCCGAAGCTAATACTAGATTAAAAAAAAAAAATAAAATTATATTTCCACCACGATGTAATAACATTTCTTTCATATTTGAAAACACATAAGTCACAATACGTATAATCACTAATACAAAATTTTGTCCTGATAAATATCAGCAACCTCTTCTGAATTTCATTAGTCAAAAAGATTATTTGTTTCATTAAAAAAACCCTGCAAGATGTAAAGCAGTTGGACCAGATATCAACAAGACTTTATCAGCATAATTCCTCTGAATTCAGAGTGACTTAAACTGAAAGAACACCTAATCTCTATCTGGGTACCTAAATAAAACAAATGACTCTTCAAGATGTCATCAACCCTCACCATGTGGGAGAAAGGAAGAGAAGGAATCTTAGTAGGAAATCAGTGAAATGTTAAACTCAATGACAAATTGTGTGGCTATGGAGGGAGAGTGGATTCTTGCAGCCAGAAAATAAGCTCTAAACTGAACAATTTACTTACGCTGAATTTGGATGCCAGTTTTGTACTACAGGACAATTCTGGAAGAAGGTGACTCAGCGAATGGGATGTGTCACCACTGTACCGCCCTACCATAAACACCATGAAATCCCAGTGGCTTTCTGAAATCTTCTGATCCTCAAAACTTGTCAGGGTTCTCATTTTGCATTATAATTGTATGTGGTCAAAATAAGTTAAATCCATTCCTAGGAACTCCACTATGTACTTATACACCAGATTAAATCTGTTCTCCGAATATTAGGTTACACCAGTTAAACCATTCTGCAAAATAAAGTGACATTATCAGCATAAACACCTGGGATTAAAATGAGTATTTACTGTTTTACAAATGTTCATTATGAAACAGAACAATTTAGCAATACTCTGCACGTTCAGGTCATCTGTAGCACTCTAATTGCAAGTCGTTTCGCTCTACCCATCAGCCTATTGATGTAGTGGCAGTGTAAATTCCAATATCATTTGTTTTCAGGGACTGATATTCACTTATAGTTCTAAGATTAGTCAGCTCTTTTGATTCTTCTATTATTCTTACTGACATGATTTAATAGATTATAGTAAACATTTCAACAGATTCTAATTTTCGATAATGCAACAGATTACTGCCTAGTAAATAGAAAGACTTGTACCCCAGAGATCACTCCAACTCTGACTGATATTTCCCTAAATATTAGAAGTTAAGCTTTTAGTCTTCAAAATAAGGATCGAGTTTATTTCTCTCTGAATAATATGTACTATGTTAGGACAAAGTAAAATTGATTTTGTTTTCCCACTAGGTTTACAAAGCCTATCTTTGAAATACAACTTCTATAAAGATTTCAATTATTTATGGTACATAAATGTCCCTAACTCAAAAAAAAAAAAACCCAAACAAACAAACAAAAAAAACCAACAAAAAAAACCACAAACCCACCACTTAAAAGAAAAGAGAAAACTGAAATACAATCTGCAGTTTAAGACAAACTTAGATAGGTGTCTCTTTCAGCAAATCTATTGTCTGTTATATTCTTTAAGCCACTCTTTTAAAAAAACTTATCTGCTCTAATTGCAATTAATAGTTTAGGGTATTGTACTGTAAAT